TGACTTTGCCCAGAACTTAGTCTTTGGGGGGGGGGGGGCATTTACTTGGGAGACAGGTGTATTTTTTTATTATTATTATTACTATTATTATTAAGCTGATAGGAACTCATAAATGGTGTCAGGCCAGCAGGTGGCTTGGAGGTTAAGGCAGCTGGATCCCACATAGCCAACTCCGCGGTTCAAGTCCTGGACTCAGCAGCTTGAAAAACATGCTGGGTATCTACATGTGCATGCCCAAAATTCCAAGAGGAGAGGCGAAGAAAAAGAAGTGCGGCATGACCATCCCTGCTGGGCTGATTTCTCACTTCCCTGTCCCTACCCCTGTCTATCTGGCAAGCACATGTGCTCTAATGGCAAAAACTACAAGAAAAAGAAGTGGAGTCATTGCTTGTTCTGGCCACCCAAAGGTTTTCTTTTTGAGTTCTGGGCTAACTGGACAGTGATGAGCATGTGGGTAGGATCCTCATGCCTCTAATTAACTTATTATACACCGTCTCGCAGTAAAGGAGTGTGGCACTTTGGGATGATGACAATAACATGAGTGCTGATTCCGTGGGCTAAGCAGCAGCTGTGCCCTCTGTCCTACTCCTTCGCAGCCTGTGGGGGCTTCGCTTCTGGAGTACAAAGACCTAATACCTGGCCCCGCTTTTTCTTCTCTTGCAACCCCAGAAGGACCTAGACTTCTGCATTAAGTCCTCAGGGTGAAGCCCAAGTGTGTGTGGGGGGGGCAGGAAACAATAGTGGTGATATTTTGAAAACACTCAGCGTATTGTCAACCAGAGCTCTGTACTGACCACACCACCATATATAAATCCTGTGAAAATGGGTGTTTGGATGATGATCAGAAAAGACTTTGATACTGAAGTACTTTTGAAATCATAAAAGATGGTATATTCAGGATGATTTTGCTGGATTTTATTACAATAGACTATTAATTAATTAATTAATTAATCTATTTATTTATTTATTTTGAGAACCCAGTCCACATGAGTTTACCTTGATAATTCTGTTAGACTCTGATTAACCTGAGTCCTTTGACAGTGCGTAATTCTTAAATCATGCTTTACACAGTTTTGAGCCTGAGCAGGGCACGGGGGCTGATGCAGCCTTGGTGCCTGGTTTTCTTGGCATCCACACGTCCCTCTAAGCTGTAAGTGATCTTAAGCTGTCCAGGAGGAGCTGCAGGAACGGTTTCTGGGGCACTCGCAGGATTAGAGACGGCCCCGGAGCCAGGTTACACACAGGCCATGTAATGCAGATAAAATAAGAACTGACTTCAGCGTCTGTCCTAGACTCACACCAAGAACATCTGAGGAAATAAGAATTCCCATGAGCAAATACGCAGCTCAGACGGTCTCCTGGCATCCATGCCCTGTAATGCTGACGGCCAGCGAGGCACGAGTAGAAACTACTCGGTGACGTTCCCATCTGACCCAGGAGGAGAGGCAAGGTCACAGCCTCTGGTTTCCCCAGGATCGAGGGAGATGAGGAAACAGACAGCGAGGAACTGGCCCACTGAGCAAACCCAGACAAAAGGAGCAATTTCATCTCAGCTGCTAGTATTCACTGTAGTTGGAACTTCCTCCCAGGAAAACAAGGGCTAGCACAGGAGCCCTTACAAGAATCAAGAGGACCGTGATGTGAAGGATGTTAAGTCAGCCCCAGCATCCTGCACGTCTTCAGTCCTCTCTGTAGGAAGGGTGCAGACCCGCCATCGTTGTTCGCACGTCCCCCTTCGCAATTCCGGCACCTGACTAACGTGGGACTAGATGCGCAGACTTCAGTGTGCAGGAGGCCCTGCAGCCTCTCCCCACATCCCAGCCTGGCCACAGCCACACCCGCCCCCAGGCGCACTAGGTGGCGTGTCAGCCCGCCCGGTGGCTTCCTTACCTCCAGCACGATTTCTTTCAGTTGGAACTGCTTTTGTGCGACCTTATCCGAAGATACCGGCTCATGGTAGTAGAGGCAGAGCAAGTCGTATTTCTTCAAAATCTGCTTGAAGTTCTTCTCGGAAAGACTCACCACTCGGTCCTTCCCATCATATGTGGGGAAGTTAAGCCCCTCTTCTGCCCTGCAAGAGGACAGCAAATAGACCCCCACAACAAACAGGTGAGTTCTCTTCATTTGGGAAAAGTGTTATTGCCCGTTCCCCAAAATATCGTGTGCAGGAGAAAGGTTCGCAGAGGCCGGTTGGGCTGAGCGTGGAGCAGAGAGAGGCTGATTTTGTCTCTTTCCTTTGCCCTCCCCGGGGCTGAGCAGTGACTCTTCGTCCCCTGGGGTCCAGCTGGCTCTGGACTCGTGAGCCCAGGACAAAGCGGAGGCCCACACACATGCACGCATAGCCTCTGAGCCGGGGAGGGAGGCTGGGCGGCCAAGCCCCAGATACCTTACATAGCTCTGCCCAGCCCCTGGCTCATTAGGAACTCCATTTTTAGGATGCAGTTGTTTCAGGCTAAAAATAAATCATGCGATGAATAAAAAAAGTTCGATATGATACTGTTGAGGGATTCGCTGATACGGTCTGTCAGAGTGGTGGACAGGGAGGAGGCAGGAGGGAGAGAAGGGACTGTGCGCACGTTAAGTGAGGCTAGAAAGGTCAAAGAGGAGGAGGAAACTCAAGAGGGAGGAAGAAAAAAATGAGAGGAGAGGGCGATAAGGGACCGTGGCGCCAAGAAGCAATCGAGGGTAGGATGAGCAACGTGCATCAGACATTACTGAGCTGCTACACTGCTCCGGGCAGGTCAGCGAGCCTGCGCCCTCCTGGCAGCGCTCTCCTCCCACCACCCACGCCACATGGGAACAAAACGGAGCCTCAAGGGGAACTCCATGTTCTGCACCTGTCATTCCTGCCTTTGTCCTCTCTTCTTGGAAACCCAGCCCTGGCCGTGCCGTGGCACCATGCCTAAGCCATGCCCAAGCCATGACCGTGTGGATGGGCCAGCTACTGAGTGATGCGGGAATACACTTCCAGCAGCCGTGTACGCAAAGGGGCGCATGGGCCCCGGCCTGCCCTGGGCCCCAGCTCCTTTCCAGCTATCCCTGCCCACACTAAACCCTGCCAGCGCCAGAAAAATGTCTCCATTCTTGATCTGATTAGTGTACACTGTATGCCCGCTTTGAAAACCTGTACTGTACCACACAAAGCCAATCATTACATGTAAATTAGAACTCACATAAAATAGTTAAATAAAGTCAACTGTAGCCCTCAGAAACCCTCCTAGGTGTTCTGTTATCATCCCCGTCACATTCCTCTCTCTCTCTTTTTTTTTTTTTTTTTTTTTAACATTAACCCCTGGTGGATCATTTTACCCCTTTCCTCTCCATTGAAACAGATTAGCAAAGAGGTCTCAGAGACAGACTGGTCGCAGTTCAAATCTCCACTCTGCCTTTTAATGAACGATGAGCTTTGGAGAACCACAGGCCCCCTCTAATCCTCAAGTCCCCTCTATGTGCAATGGGGACGATGATAATTAAAGGTTTGGAGGATGCAGATGGAAAACATGGCGCAAAGTACATGCTCAACAAGATAGCTATTGTCTTTGTTTTCTGGAGTTGGTGGAACATTGCTTATTATCATCATTATTGGCTGGTTTCCAATATTAAAGGTTTGTGAACCCTTTTCTGTCCATTTTCTTTCAGCAGACAATCGGGGCAGAAGTGGTAAGTGCACATTTTACAGATGTGCTAACTAGAGTTTGAACGATGATCTCAGATTACAGCGCTACTGCCTGCCAGTGTGTGGATTCAGCTACATCTCAAAGTTTGTAGATATTCCTCCTCTTAATTGGCTTCTTGACTGTCTACTCAGACAATGATCCTGTCACGTCTTTCCGCTTTCCCGAGGGGTCTTTGGCCCTGAGGACTCTGGCCAAGTTTTTGTCTTCCTTCAGTCAGAAAATCAGGTTTGGAAACAGAGATTTTGTCACGTAATGACTTTCACAGGGAAGGGAGGGAGCTGCCCAGTGGCTCCCTGGATGAGACGAGGCCCTGCACTGCAGCCAGAGGGCTTCCTTTGGGTATGGGGCTGATGACGGGTTGTCTGACACTGAACATCCATGTCCAGGAAGCCAGGGCCTTGAAGCCCCCATCACTGACACTCTTGACAGCATGCACTTCGTTCTAATAGTGAAGTCTCTGGTTTGTAAAGACGGAGCCAAGAATAATCAGGCCATTGGCAAGCATGTGAGATCTCTGCTTTCCTTAGAAAAGTTAGTGGGGAAAAAAGATTTCTGAGGGAAACAATGTACGTCTTGTCTTTTCGAGGTCAGCTTTCCAAAACTGTTCCCAGTTGTCTCCATCTCATTGGGTTATCTTAATTTAGAATTTGCTCTACTTTCCTTAATATCAAAGTTTTTCGTTTTTCCTGTTACTGAAAAACTGAAAGATATTTCAAATCACAGTCCATGGACTTCCTACTGACTTACAACTGACAAATGGGGGCAGAGAGATAGTTCTTTAACATTTAGAGGAGCCCTCCGGTCTAGCTTGCAACCCAAAGCTCCATTGTGGCAAGTTCCTGTCCCTAGATCGTGGGCTCCATGGGAGCTGTGCAGCCCAGCCCTGAGGACGGCCAGTCGCTGACACACGCTGCAGTGATCAGGTCCCCTCTCCTGGTGCAGCCATTGGTGAGGCAAGGGTCTAAATGTGGGCCTCACTCTCAGGAGGAAGTAGGTTTCCATACTTTGTGTTGTTATGGACTAGCCTTATCTGTTGCCTGCTTTTTATTTTCCTATTTTTGCTTTCCCTTTGCTTTATTGCTCATCAGCTTTGATTTACTTATTTTGTAAACAAGGAATGCTTCACATATTTCGGAGTCAACCTCACATCCTACAAATCAGCTCTTTTATTCCAGCTTCAATGGGCGCCCAAGCCGGTGTGTCACGCAATCGTCATTTGTGCAGCCGTGTTGCAATGTGTGTATTTCTCTGTGCCATTAGGTTTTTCTTTTTCCTTTTCAGATAAGAGGGGGGTCTTTCCAGCAAGTGCACGCGTCCTATGGCAAAAACCTTAAAAAGATGGGGAGATGGTCAAATTTAAAAGATCAGTAGAAATAAATGCTCATTGTCACAACATGTGACAAAGGTCCCTCATTTTGCTGTTTCTAGTCCTTCACTCTGTGAGTGGGCACCCCCTAGAATCTCTTCATCTAACCCAGCCTCATTCGTTTATTTTCGACAGGTGGCAGAATGACTTTGCACATATTATTTAATTAGATCTTCTCAAGAATCCCTTTTAGGGACCAGCAGTTAGCGTAATGACTATGTCGCTGAACTCCCATGTAGTCGACCACAGTTCGAGTCTTGGACCCGGTGGTTTAAACGCACGCCGGGCGTGTGGGTGTGCGTGCCCAAGATCCCAAGAGGAGAATAGAGGAGAAGGGATTGCGGTGTGGCCATCCCTCCTGGTGGGGGTGGTTTCTCACTTTCTGTGTCTCTGTCTCTCTGTCTCTCTGTCTTTCTGGCGAGCGCACACGCCCTATAGCAAAAACCTCTAAAAAAAAAAAAAGAATCCCTTTTACAAATGCATCAGGATTCAAACCATGGTCTTTCATTTTATATATTAATTAAGCACATTTTTATGGGGCTTCTTCCATGGACCAGACATTCTTCTGAGTGCTGGGCATAGATAACTTAGCACACTGCAAAGCAGGACTGTTGAGCTTATATCCTAGAAGCGAGGCAGATAATAACTAAAAACAAATGTGTGCGTGTGTGCGTGTGTGCATACATGGGCCGTATGGCATCGAGTGGAGGTGTGTGCTCTGTAGAACGACTGAGAAGGACAGGAGACAGCCAGTTACCGGGGGTGGGGTGTGGGGTGGGCTGGGCTCCTTTGGATGGGTAGAGGAGGAGGGCATGTCTGACAGCCAGAGCAGAGGAGGGAGTGAGGCAGAGGAGACAAGCTCCTAAGACTTGAGCTCCAGGGAGAGGGTGGAGGCCTCCTCTAACAAAGCCACGGGCATTTCCCCAGCCCCCTGGAGAGGCAAGGCTATAGTTTTTTCCACTTCTTCTTCAGCGTCTGTTTAAACTTTTAAAATATGTTACTCACATAGAGGATTTTCTTTCACTGGGATAGGCCTGGGCACAGCCCACAGGCTGGAGAAAGTTTGGTGATGTTACCTGCGGAGGAGGCTTCTGATGGGTGTGGCTCGCACCACGTCCGAGTTCGTCTTTTCTCTCAGGCATAGAGCTACAAAAATCATTGCCTCCAAAGTTCCCTTCTTTGGCTAAAATACTCCACCCAGTGGACAAAATAGAGTATGGCATTTTTCTTTGTTTCACTCTGTTGGTCTGGTTTTGCTTGGCCACTGGCTAGGCAGGTACAACCCAGTGGCTTGGTAGAAAGAATGCAGAAATGCTTGTGTTTGGAGCCTTGTGTTCCACTGCCTTGGGCGTCCTCTGGTCAGTTCAGAACAGGCCTTTTAGCAGCCTCAAGGCCCTCTTTTCCCCCTTGATTCTGAATATCAGGCCTTCTGGACTCCTTAGCATCAGGAAACTCCTTAGCCAAACCAAGCAGAAAGAGACCAGTGCCAGTTTGAAAAAGAGCCTCAAAGCTCCACTGATATGATCCCAGGTTTTGACAAAGGTCATTTCTGCAGGGGCGTCTGTCCTCGTGTAGACTGGGGCTTGCATTCATTGCCCTAACACTTTGTCTTTCTCCTTGGAAACAATCCCCTGGGGATTCAATTCCCCTCCCCCAGCTGCACTGAGCCTCAGTGGAGCAGGGACAGCAGCTGTTCACAGTATTGCTTATAACCAGCCTGGTGCCCATAGTTGTTCTCATGAAATATTTATTAGGTAGATTTGCAGCAGTACTTTGTCCCAGGCTTTAAGTACTTACAAATTTAGCTCATATGCTCCTCCAGATAATTATTCCTCTAAATAATTCTGTCATCCTCACTTAACAAATGGGTAAACTGAGGCACAGAGCAGTTAAGAAACCTGGCCTGAGGGGACCAGCAGTTACCATAATGGCTATGTTGCTGGACTCCCATGTAGTCTACTGTGGTTTGAGTCCCGGACCCGGTGGTTTAAACTCATGCTGGGCACGTGTGTATGCATGCCCAAGATCCCGAGAGGAGAATGGAGGAGAAGGGATTGTGGTGTGGCCATCCCCCCAGGGAATGATTTCTTACTTTCTTTCTCTCTGTCTCTCTCTGTCTCTCTGGCGAGCGCACGCGCCCTATAACAAAAAACTCTCAAAAAAAAAAAAAAAAGAAAAAAAGAAACCTGGCATAGGGTTGCATGGCCAGTAATGGCGGAGCTGGGATTTGAACTCAGTAGGCAAGCCCCTGTGTCTGCCTACTCCTTACCCCTTGTAATCACCAGTGAGAGGGCTCTCCCAGGGGGTGTGGGAAGTCACTTGGACAAGTCAGACAT